GAAGCTGCTAGAATCAATTAAGGCAGGCTAATCAGGGCACCTGGGTTTTAAAAAGGAGCTCACTTCAGTTTGTGGTGTGAGTGTGAGGAGCTGGGAGCAAGAGGCACAAGGAGCTGAGAGTGAGAGGGTGTGCTGCTGGAGGACTGAGGAGTACAAGCGTTATCAGACACCAGGAGGAAGGTCCTGTGGTGAGAATAAGGAAGGTGTTTGGAGGAGGCCATGGGGAAGTAGCCCAGGGAGTTGTAGCTATCATGCAGCTGTTACAGGAGGCACTATGGACAGCTGCAGTCCACAGGGCCCTGGGCTGGAACCCGGAGTAGAAGGTGGGCCCAGGTTCCCCCCAAACCTCCCAATTGACCTGGACTGTGGGTTCTTCCAGAGGGGAAGGTCTCTGGGCTGTTCCCCAACCAACATGGTGAATCTCTGAGGCAAGAAAATCTGCCAATAAGTGCAGGACCCACCAAGATAGAGGAGGAACTTTGTCACAATATATGTGTGTGTGTGTGTGTGTGTGTGTGTGTGTACAGACACATACATATACACATTTTTATACCATATTTTTAAACATACAAGGCAGATCAGCATAGTCCATCAAGAATTCCAGTCTGTAGGCTGCTTCAGAGATCTCACGTCTCAGTTTAAAAACAGTAACTTCACTGGCTTTTTTTAAGTATGCCGTAAGCTCTACCAGCTCTTCAGTGTTCAAAGGCACCTCACTGACTTTGTCTGCAATTATGTTGTATTGATTGCAAATGCTACAACAAAAAAGTAAGCAGACACATAATGATGATGATTATTATTAATGAAGAGTGGTGTAGGATCTCATTAATGCAGATTGCGTGTCAAAGGATACTAATGCATCTTTACAAACAAGATATTCTTATTAATACACATAACAGACATGGAATAATTAAGGGCATTCAATTCCAACATCCTACCACTCTTTCAAGGACTGAAGTATCCATACAGTAGAATGCTTATTAAATTGGCATTCAATTGCCACTGCTAACACACTAAGTTAACTGCTCCCTCCCACACATTTAGAATGTTCTGTTTCAAGAGCTGAACTCTTATATACAGAGGCATCCTTAAGTGCAGAAATCAGCAGCTCATTTATTCTTCTGACATCTACAGAACTAAGCATCCTGCATGAAATTTAGGCAAAAAGATAACATTTACCCAGAGATCCTCAAACTACCCTCCCAAAAAAATGAACATGGACAAAAATGGAAAAAATACAGAAGCAAAAAAGACACCCATTACATATCGTTTCCCAGCAATGTGTTTTCTTGTTTCAGGTTTGGACTAAGCACTTTTGTTATCCATACATGCACAGTACTCAAGACAGTTCAAGTACAACCCAATTCCAAGAGTAACCATCCGTATTTACTCACGAGAAAAGGGATTTCTTTCAAGCGAAGCACAATTATACCAGTAGATTAAAGCTAAATTTATTGTAAAGTAAACTTTCCGCTGGCTAAAACTGGAGTTCAGGGCCTGTGTCTTTCTTGCAAAAGACATCTCGGACATCTCGATATGCAGAAGAGGGAACTGTGATCCTTACCCTGCTTTAGGTGGGCATTAGTTCTTGCAAGGGAAACACAAGAACCCTCAACTTAACTTCTAGCAAATCAGTAAAAAAGGGAAATAATTGTCAAATATTTTCATTGTGATTTTCAGATCTATCCAGGTAGAACCTAACTCAGGAAGTTTTTAAAAAAATTATTTATTTAAAGAACATTTCAGGTCAACTTTACATACACAACATGGAGTCCTTGCAAACCAGTGAAATGTTGTGTTAATTTACAGAAGCCTGTGGATATACCTGTACAAATCCAGCGGATGAATAAAATTTATCTCAGGAATGTACACAGGCACTAATATACAGCATCAACGCACAAATCTAGTGATAGCCATGCATTCTCACATATGTGTACCTCTTATTTAACTCCCTGTTTTCATCCACTTCAAACTCAATCAGCTTATTTTTAAGTGTTTGGGCCCGATTGCAAAGCTCCTCATTCAGCTTTAAAGCATCCAGGCAGAACATGGCGAGAGGGACAGTGACATGCATGAAGGCTATTTCTTTTTTCAGTTTTGTTAAACTGTCAATCTTCTACAAAAGGGAAAAGAATAATCCTATTAGTTTCCTTAGACTCTACAGATGGGAAATGAGGGCAAAGAATTATCTGTCAGCCACCAGGTGGATAATATATTTTAAACAGAAATAACAATCCATGTTTACCCATTTAGGGCTCAAATCACTCTCAACCCCAGAACTCCGCGGGAGGCCCCCAATAATGAAAAGTCCACATGGATGCCATGGCACAAGTTGCCTGCAAAGACTGCACTCAGCCAGGGACCCAGCCCAGCAGGCGCAGCATAGAAAGCGGGTGGGCTTGGCTAAGAGGAGGGGAGCAGAGGGATAAAGAGAGGATGTGCTGATCAGCACACATTCTGGACAGCCTCCTCTAGTGGGGCTCTGCCTGGAACATAGTTTTGCCCTCCCCAGCATAACCTGGCACAGCTGCCCTACAGGCAAGGAGGGATGTAAATTGTCCCCACTTTACCTACAAGGGTGAATCATGCCCTTAGACTAGAAAGCATGGGGTGGAAAACTTGTAGTGAGCTGTGTCTGTAAACTGCCATGTAAATGTTGACTGTTGTATGAGTGATTAGTAATAATAATACTGTTAGATGTTACCTTAGTGAAATCATCTAGAGAATGGCTTTCCTTCAAAAAATCAGTAATGTCTTGTTCCGCACTGTTGTTCAAAAGATCACTGTATTTCTTGTACACATTTAAGTACCTTAAACAGAGAAGAACGTAAATCAAACACAAGATCCCAAAATTAGATTTCATGGCAATGGGAAGTAAACATGCAAAAATGACACTGACGCTGCTTTAACATGTTGGTGGATCCAGATAAGCATCAAAGTTAAAAGCAAAAACTTACTTCTGTGGACCAACCATGTTGCTGTCAAATATCCTGGCAGTTTTGTTCACATATTCTGAAACCAAAGATTCATCCACTTTCACTGTACGAAGAGTGGGGTCATCTTTTTTTAATTCTGGAAAGAGTTGCATTTCTACCTAGAAGGAACCCCACAACACAAATACAGCATACTACAGGAAAAGCAAGGGCATTTTACACCATGGCTAGAAGTGTAGAATTCTACCTATCTAGTGATCTGGCAGAAACAGCATCCTGCACTACACTGGCCCTGCTTCAGCAAAGCAACTAAACATGCACTTTAGGAATATGTTTGATGCTTTGCTGAAACAGGACCATAGTCAGGAGTAAGCTCAAAATACTAACTGGGCCACTGGAGTTCAAATATCACATATTTAGACACTTGAGCAGGCATTCAGTGGCATCCAATATGCTTTTAGGCATTGGCATTTGCATTCCTAAATACTGATTTGAGCACTCAAATGCAAGATTCTGATGCTCTGTTGGAGCCTATGTTTAAAAATTGGGCCGACTTTATGAACATTTTATTTAGGAACATTAAAGAATCCCAGAGGACACTTTTATACAATAGAATGGAATAAATGGGAAAACATAATCCGATCATTTGCACTTTTCCAACTGTCATGAAAGATAATGTTCCCACTTAGAATAGTTGTAGAAAAATCTGTTATTGTAAGAAAAGTAGCAGAGCAGAGGTAATAATTATTTGTACTGTTGGAATAGCTTTCACTTGACAACACATATTCCTTGTTTGTGAACAGTACGTGAGATCAAACCAAAGCAATAAAGCAGCTTGGATGTGAGCAGGAATCCTTTCTATGTTCTCTACTATAATCACTAAGGCTTCCCCAGCTACTGATACATAACTCTATTTGTCTTCTGAATCGGAGTTTTTATACCACACTCAGCACTTTATTAGCTGAAGGCTGTCTTATAGGTTTCATTCTGCATGCAGCATTCTCTGCACAATACAGCCCATCTCCCTTCTTTTACCCTGTACCTTCGGAAGTCCCTCCGAACTCTGAAGGATCTCCATGAAGCAGTGGTAGATTAAATTCCAACAATCTTTCCAAAGTGGCTGAAACACAATTTTGGGTTCCTCCACATTGAGTTTGATTATTAGTATTTGAGGGACAAAGAACTGCATTTCTTGATATGGTTCTCCAAAGTCATTCCCATCCTCAAGGGAAAAAAGCACAAAAACAATAAATGCTGAACTAATTGAGTATAACATGCACAACTCAAAAGTCATTTAAAATTACTTAAAATCCCATATATAAAACTGAGATCTTTTTAATACACTGCACCACGAGTATTTTCATCCTGAGCTGGAGCCTGATCTCTCAAGGTACTGAGCACCCTCAGTCCTCACTGATTCAATGGAAGTAGAGTCCTGACCACCTCACAGAATCAAACCCCTAATGAGTGATAATCATTTTTAATTATTTTATTTTGTTTGCATCCCAATTGTTTGCACAGAACTTGGCACAATGTCTGGGGGCCTGATCTAGGAGCTACCGCAGAACAAATCATAAATCATCATCATCCAGATGCAGCACTTAGCACAAGGCGGGTGCAGCGCTATTCTTTGTCAATATGCTTCTGTGGCTGTTTGCCCCAATCCAGCCAAATTTGTGCTATTTACAAATGTTTTGCGTAATGGATTATAGCAGATCCTGGGTGATACTTAACTATTGACACAACCATGTTACTGAAGGGAAGAAATGATAGGCACTCATGTGCTGGAGTCATAGCACCACATATATTAATAAGTAGTTATCGCCTGTACACATACATGATTTTATGGGACAGAATTAGCAAAGCACTTAAGCACTTTTGACTTCAATGGGACTACTTACATGCTTAAAGTTAAACATGTGCTCAAGTACTTTGCTAGACCAGGGCCTATCTAAACAGCCACACTACAGCAATTCGTATCAATAGCTGAAAACTTTTAGAACTAGCTAATTATGGTCCTGATCCTGCAGACTCTTACACAAGTGAATAGCTCTTGATCACACAAGAAGTCCTACTGAATACCGGCAAGGGTTTACAGAATCAGGCCATAAGTTTGGAAGACAGGAGGAATCCTGGGCATTTACCCCTGAAAAGGTATTTGATTTGAAGAATGTATAGATTCCTATTTCTACATCACAATGAAAAGAAACGGTAGCAGCCCACTTCATTCCATATACCTTGTGTATCATAAAAAATGCCAGGAGGTCTTCCAAAGAGTTAATAACCATCTCGCGTAGCTGTAATGACATGAGATTTGCAACAGAAGCAAAATACTCTTCAATTTGCTTAGGGGAATCATAGTCAGTCTGGGGTGCCAAATGAAGCCACCTCTCCTTCTGATCAATAAAGAGGGATGCACAAGTTGGGATCCACCTACAATAAAACACAAAGCACATTTAAAAACCCTATAGACTTAATGTGCTGTATGTAATGAAACCTGCACTAAGCAGTCACCCAAGGGATCAGCAAAACTCAGCTGTGTAGCAGAGACTGGTCTTTAGCTAAAGATGAAACAAAGTTGGACCAAAAACCTTGAAGATATTGATTGCTTGAGTTGGGGATGCCTACTTGGGTGGGGGGTACATAGTGCTTAGTCTATCAACACAAAACCAAATAACTAGAGTTTGGTCTAGCATGACAATTTTCAGTGTGGTACAGTTTTCAGTCCTCTCAGCTGGATTTTTATAAATATTATATTATTTTTAGAGTATCCAAAAAGCAAATTTAATTTAAACCCATAAAAACCATGATGGCAAATTCGTGGCACTCCTGTGTGACATGGCTCTTGACACCAGTTCCACTGGCCTATCCCTGGAGCCTCAGTGGAGGTGGGGGAGCTGATACAGGTGTCTGTGACATGACACATCCCAAGGGATGGGAGGACTTTTTTGGGTGACCGCAGTAGAATAGGAACAGAGGAGGCAGTCTGAAAGGGAGCTGAATAGGGAGCTAAGGAATGAAAGACAGAACAAAGGGGAAGGAAGACAGATAGAAAGGGAAGAGAATGTGGGAAAGAAGAGGCAGGATATGGCTCTGTCTTCAGCTGAATTTACAGCGTTTGACAACAGGTATCAAGACTCAGGTCCCTCTACCTCTTCCCTTGGGTCTTGATTCACATTTCAGGGGGCTGCACATGCAGTTAAAGTTAAGCACCTGCTCAAGTGCTGTGCTGGATCTAGAGCTTTACCAGTGCTGAACGTGGTGGTCCTGTGGGTGTGGTCGGGGTCACCCGCGTTTAACACTTGTTGTTAATAAGCAGCCCAGACCCTCTCTAATTTTTAAAATTTTTTAATGAATTTAAAAACCTCAAACACTGGAGGCTCTGGGACTTGTGGAGTACCACGCCCCTGAGCCTGAGCTACTCAATATCTTTCCTGTGAACTTTTTGAAAAGTACAGGGCTCAAGCAGGATTTGTGGAGAACTGAAGATAGAAATAAGCAGTTTTCAAAGAAAGACATTTCTAGTCTATTCACAGCCAGCTCTGCGTTCAAACTCCTCTGCGAGCAGAATAAAACCTTCAGTCCAAGCCCTGCTGATTTCAAACGCTTCACATAGGGGAGGCCTAATGGCTTAGGCTAATGCTACCAGTTTCAGAAAAAAGTTCTGAAGCTCAGAGGAGACACCTGAAGATCCCAGGGCCTCCAAGATTTATTTCTTTAATTCATTCTGAATGGATTGAAGTAAACAAGATTATTAGCCTGCTTTAAAAAAAAACACACATTCCTGGATGAAAAGCTCTAGAAGAGACTGATGCAGCCAACAAATCCTGTTAGGATGGATGCCCCACATTCCTAAAGGTTGGAAACTTTCATCAGTCAGATGGCTTCCTTTCTCTAGGTTAGTTTATGAACGCTTACAGTACTACAGGTTTAAAACATAACAGGCATAGTAAGAGAGCCTTGCCACACAATCAATGTCACTTGATAAATGCCTTGGCTCTGTCTCAACGTTTTCCATACAGCAAATGCCACAGGACATAGGGCCTGATCCAAAACCCACTGAAAGCCCATGGAAGGTATTCCACTGATGACATGGGCTTTGGGTCAGACCTTTAGGGACTAACTGTGCACCTCTGAAGTCAATGGGAATTAAGCCATTCATTGATTCATTTCACTGACATCAGGATTGGGCCCTTATGTAGGAACTGGGGATCATTATTCTGCAACTAAATTCTGTATCATGGACTTTGCATCTGAAATCTGGCTCCTCTGAAATCAATGGGGGCAGGATTTCAACTGTCTTTTAAAAAATTAAATATTTTATGTATTATACTATAATAACAGCGCATAAGTATTACAGGACAAAATTCTGCAGTGCTCCCTCCTTCACTACACAATTTGGCCTATCAAGTTTAGCTTAGGATGATCAACTAAAACACCAACAGTTTGTAAATACTACTAATATCAAAAGTAATACAAATATGATCATGTATAAGGCTTCATTCTGGATTTTAGAGGCAATTTTTCAAATGTGGGCACAGTTGCAAGTAAAAACCCCATAAATTGTGCATCAAACTATTCTACTGTGCATGCAGCTAGTGATAGTAATATAATTATGGATAATATAATAATGGACCACATAATGCTGTCCTTACTCTAGCAAAATTACCATAGCTTTCCTGGGGTGTTTCATTAAAAAAAAATAACAATTTTGTTTGCATGAAGACAGAAGGATATGGGTCAGTGATAATACTTAGCACTTATATAATTTCACATGCAAACATTGAGTTTTGTAGGATCAAATGAAGATTCACATTTTTGTGCATTCCCGCATTGCAGTTACCTGTACAAATCTACTCTAAGAATATTCTGTTCATCTAGTATTCTTATATACAGTACTGACTTGTTCTGAAGAATGTCATGTGCTTCCATACAATGTCTTCGAACTAAATCTTCAAATTCACTGGGCAGCAGTGGCAGGTCACCTGACAGCATTTCTTTTGTACGAACAAATCTTAGGTCACTAAACCTTTGGAAAATAAAACATAACTCAGATAGCTTTGATTAATTTACTTTAAAGTAAATTAAATGGGATACAATCAGGAGGCTCTTATAAGTAGTTAAAAATGTGAATACTCTTTTTCACTTGTGCAACTTGTTTCTTTCCTAAGTTACCCTACATATTTCTGATTCATTTTTACTATCAGCAAACTTTCAGGGCTGAGTGAATTTCATTATGTATTTGCCTTTTTCATATCACAATTGCTGTTTCCTAAAATGATTTGGTTCATTTCATTGTCAGATTCATTATTCCACTCAGCCAAGGATGAACATGCAGAGTGACAGAGTTTCTTCTCTTCCTATGCTCAGTAACAGAAGTAGATATGTGTCCATTTTGGCTAAACTGTGGGAAGAAAAAGTCAAAATCTGGTCAGCTTTTGCACACTGAGGAAGAGTGCCTAACATGATACACATCCCAGTTTGCAATGTTCTGTAAGTCACAAATCAACAGGTTAGATTCCTGACCACAAAGTGCAATGTTACTTAAATACAAATAACAAAGCTGCATACAAATAGCATACAAATCTGACATAACCCCACAAGGGGGCCCATGATTTTCAGAAGTGGCTAGTGATTTTGCATCACCAACCTGAGACATCTTAAAGGGGTCTGATTTTTCAAAAGAGTGGAATGTCCACTCTCTGCAAATCAGGCCCCTTCAGGGGTCAAGTTGAGAACCCAAAAATTTAAGCACCAAAATCACTAGTCACTTTTGAAAATCTTGACTAGGAGTTCTAAGTTAAGGGCGGAGTGTTTTACCATAGGGACTGATCGAGCTAGCATGCTAAAAAGAGAAGTGTAGCTGCAGCAACCCCACCAGCAGGTAGGATTAACCATCCAAGCATGTACCTAGGGTCTCAAATGGTGTCTTACAATGAAAAGAAACAATAAGTTTCTTGCTGATTCAATGTTTCTTGCTTTTAATGAAATGTCTTGTGTCCAGATGACACAGCAATGCAAGAACTAAGAAATCATTAAAATAAATCATGGTACAAAGAATTACTCTAACCAATGTACAGTAAACAAGACATCTTACTCAGTAAACCAGAGGTGTTGTAACATAAGCATCATTGGATTCACTGTGAACAGATGGTTTTCATTCCAGCTTTTTATTTCTTGGTAAACATTATGCCATGGGACTGGTGCACGAATCACTCTCTGAGGAAAAGAGCGTGGGATATTTCCAATAAAGAGTCTCTCTCTCTCAGCTGGATCCATCAAGATGTAATCAACTACAACAAATCATATAAATGATTGTAAGACTGAATGCATTGCTAATAACCACACATGTAGATTACAGCACACTGGTGCCAGAGCAAACACGTGTCATTACACAATATAATTTGGTTACTCTTACATGTCTTTAAAATTAAATTAACATAACACGGTAATAAAATTTTATCTGAGACTATTATTAACTAACTATGTCAGCAAACTAAGAAGAATGGTCCTCCGGTGGGTAAGGCCCTAGGCCTGGGACTCAGATGCTCTGGGTTCTGTTCTTAGCTCTTCCACAGACTACCTGTAGACAGTTTGTGAATCCATCTCCACAGGCATCCTTCTGGGTTGTGCTTTGTAAGGGGGCACTGTGGTCTGTGTACACTGTGCTTTCTATACCTACTAAATAGGGTCGATAGGCCTTGAGAGTCTCCACAATAGCCAGACACTCCAGTACTGCAGCTGAATACTTGGTTTCCCTCTCATTTATCTTGCGACTTCTACAGGCCACCAGTCTGCACCTATCAGACTTGTCAATTTGTTCACAAGCATGTCCAACAGCAACCTTTGAGGCATAACAGGATACTGTGAATGGATGAGATGGATAACAAAGGATCTGGGAATTTAAACACAGCATGGATTAGAAGTCCTTCCTTCAGCAACTCAAAGACTTTTTGACGTTCCTCCATCCAGAAAAAGTTGCTTTCACATAACTGATGTAATGGCGCTGTCTGAGCTGTGAATTTTTTTTACAAATCTCCCATAGAATCTGCAGAGGCCTACAAACTGCTGCATCTCCTCCTGGTTTGTAGGAACCTTCCAGTCCTTTATAAGGTTCTGTTTCAGAGGTTGGGGCTCCAACCCATTCTCACTGACTACATGTCCTAAGAAGGTGATGCAACTCCTTGCAAACTGATATTTATTTCCCACACATTTAAATCCTGACTCCTTAAAAAGCTTTAGAATCCTTTCCACTCCTCTCAGATATTCCTCCCATGTTTTATGGAAACAAATTAAGTTATCTAAATATGTGAAGATGTGTTCGGTTCTCAAAATGTGGGTTAGATCATTTAATACCCTTTGAAACATCCCTGGTGCATGCAGGAGTCTTAAAAGCATTCTGAGGAATTGAAACAGCATCTTTTTCACTGCAACCTCCTATACCAAGGGAATCTGACATGGGGGCTGCCTCACAGGAGCTCTCCTTGGCTTAAACACAATCTGACATTGCACCCAATCATATCGCCCAAGTTCTTCATTATTTCTGGAGAACACACTAGCATATCATAAGATCAGCTGTTCTAATCACTTTCTTTCATTTCCTTCCACAGCTGCTTCTGTCAAGACAACGCCTAGCTCTATGCCTGACTGGGCTACTTCACAGCTCTTGATCTCTGCCCCTGTGAGAGGCTTTGAGACACCAGCTACGTCACTGTCCCCATCAACTTCTTTTTCACTAGCTGCACTTCCTGGTCAGTCAGATTAATTGCTCTTGGCCAGAACTCCCCGTTTGGTGCAGCTGGAAACAGAAGTCTGCTAAACAACAATCATGACTGGATAGTGGTAGCTTCAAACACTCCTACAGGTTCACTGAAGCTGTGGGTATTATTGAATGATTACCTGACTTCACCACAACTTTGTTCGGGGAGCAGTTCATCTCTATCCCACTATAGGCATGGTAGAGACATCTCTAAGGCTTCAAGAGTTGCTCCACATTCAGCAGGGACATCTGAATATTGTCCATGGACAAGTCTGTTCTATTAACACCCCAAGAATTCCCGTGATGCCCTCAGGTTAAATCTACTCCCTATATAACATTCCTAGAAATACTGGTGACTACAAGAAAAGTCTACTTAGTATTCAGACCCAGGTTCAGCGCGAGCTGGGTTTCTTCTGTTTGCAGTAGCTGATGGTTAATAGTCACCAATTCAACTCCTGAAAAATAAATTTTCTTCCATTTCGGCACTGGCTGTTCATCACGGATCAGATTTATTACAGACCCTTAGTCCAACAGCATTGTGATTTTCCAGCCGGTGATGTCTCCAGACATATAGTAACAGGTATCTGGGCAGCTCTTCAGATGGGCCATTCTAACAGTTGCTAGCCCTACTGCAGTCCTTAACTTTTTGTTTCCCTTATTGTGGCTTCCCTCTGCTTAGGCAATTCCATCTCCAGTGGCCTTTGCTTCCACAATTCCTGCAAATGTCACCTGGTCTGAGACCCACTTGGGAAAGAGTGTCTCTTCTGACCTCTGGGACACCTGTGAATGGCTTGCACTTGGGTCTCCTCCAATTTTTTAGCCATTTAGCTAGCAATCATTTCTTGAAGTGCTGCATCAGTATAAAGGTGTCACCTTGAGGCTGGGAATTAACAGCCGATACCTTTAAGGAAACACCAATTTCTTCTTCCAGATTTTGAACTCTGTATATAATCTAGTGATAGGTTAGCCAGTATGTTATCCTCCTTTACCAGCAGGCTATGAAATTTCCCTGTTAAACCATTTATAAACTGACTTTTCACATATGATCCTCCCATAGCGTGCCACTGGGTATATGCCCTTCTGCATTGCCAGTTCCAGATGAGGTGCAGTAGGTTCCACTTCACTTGAGCCATCTCCCAGATGCAGGGAAAGCCCTATCGAACAGTCTCCTTAGTGCGCACATATAACTATGTAGGGCAGGGGTAGACAACCTATGTCAAAGGCATCACGTGAGCTGATTTTCAGTGGCACTCACTGGCCACCTGTCTGGGGGGTAATACAACCACGCAAATTTACAACCACGTAAATTTACAACTAGGTTCAAATGCCTTCAGGCAAGAGCTTATTTCTCCCAGTTCCCCTGAACAGGGAGCAGTTTTTGTTGCACTCTGTAACTCAAGCTGTATCTACACTACCACTTATGTCGGTATAACTTATGTCGTTCAGAGGTGTGAATAAGCCACTTCGCTGAGTAACATAAGTTACACTGACTTAAGCGTTGGTGTGGACAGAGCTATGTTGGTGGAAGAGCTTCTCCCATAGACATAGCTGGCAGCACTCATTGAGAGTGGATTAATTAAGTCGATGGGAGAGCTCTCTTCCGTTAGCTTAGAGTGGCTACAATAGAGAACTTACAGCGGCGCAGCTGAACCAATGCAGCTGCGCCAATGTAAGCTCTTTAGTGTAGCCATAGCCTCAAATACTTTCTTTCAACTTCCCATACTGCAGCCCTTGTCATCCCATACTGAGCACTGACGGTCAGGTAAATCAAACTGATTAAGTTGCCCCATTTCCCCTTTTAAAATGGATTTTCTCCCTTGAAAGAGATCTTTCAATTACTAGGTGCTCCAAACTGGGGAACACCCATCATGCCAATATCCCAAACTGCGGAGTCATTCCTTATGCAAACCAGCCATGCTGCTCACACTGCTTGATCTATTAGTTAGTAAGGCAGGTTCTCACTGCTCTTCCTTGAGGGAGCACAGAAAGGGATTGGTACTTATTTCAATTTATCTAAATTCTGTAATGACAATTTGGTTCCGATTCATACACAGATATAAGCTCCTTCCCAGCCAGACCCTTGGTAACTCATAAGAACATGTGTGCGTACCTATCTCATAAAAGGTATTTCAGCCCTGGCACAACACCAGCATTTCTGTGCCAGAACTAGATCTGTGATGATGGAACAAATGCTCTACTGACAGTTTGGTTCCCAGGCCCATTTGAAGGGAGTAAGCAATTGGTTCAGTACCTTTAGGGTTACAGAAAGAGTGTGAAGGCTTGTCCACATGGGAGATTTTTCCAGTTATACTGGTTTAATTATATCGGTATAATTCCAATTGTGAATCCTCTTATTCTGGAATAAGACTGCCTTTTTTTTTTTTTGGTTTAGCTTTAACCACCACCAAAGCCACATAAGCTAAACCAGAGAAAGGCACTCTTATTCCTGAATAAAATTGTCCACTCCAGGGGTTATACTGGATAACTATAGTGGTTTAAAGTTGTATTGCTATAATATTCTCATGTGACAAGCCCTTAAATTGGGATATGCTGGCCATCATTGAGATTGGAAAAGACACATAAGTAAACATAGTACTTTAGTGATATATATATCTGAAAGACGGGAAGATCTCTGTCCTGGAGAATTTACAATGTAACTTATTCAAATAACAGTAATTAATATTAGCAAAATATAGAATGTAAGGAAAGCCCGGGGGGAAATTCCAGTTGAATATTCTGAACTGATCCCCACTCAGCAGCTACATTTGGAAAAGAGCAACAAGTCTATTGGCTCCTGGGGCTACCAACCAAAGTCCAGCTGGAAAATTATAATGAATCTACTGGAAAAAAAGAGAAGGGAAGAGAAAGCTACGCTTGAGAGGTCATAGTTTTATCAGAATCATTTCCCTCACACTCAATCTCCTGGAACTGAACATTAGTGAATTTCAGTACTTCTAATCTTCTTCTGTATTAGCTCTTTCATTTTCCTATTTGTCGAACATGCTCAAATGTAAAAGCACCTTAACCCTATAATTATTTCCTATTTCAGTTCCATGTGTTCCATTCTCATTAATCCTGTAATGATTTAAATGAAAACCTTTAACTCATGACATTTATGAATCCTGGTGTAACAGCATTGGAATTCAGTGGAGCCATGTAAGAGATGAATTTGTCTCATTGAATGATATTGTCAGGTTATGCAGAACTATGCTTTCTTAATATGATTTGAGCCTGCATTAGGAATGGGAAACTGCATGTGAAGGGTGTGCCCAGAGACTACTTGTCTACCGAAGTTGACTCTATATTAATTGAAGTCTTATGGTGCTTAGTAAATAAGGATACTTGATGAAACTGGAATTAAATGTTGCATTATCGGATTGTATCTTCACGGAAATATAGAGTGATTCCACTGACCTCAAAGGAGTAAGTCATGTGGAGCTGAGAGAAAAATGAGGCCCTTTATTTTTGGACTGCAAAATCACTGCATCTGCCAAAACTACTGAGAGGTTTGCCCTCTTACCAATGTTTTTCATGAGGCTGATGTGGTAGTCATCCTGAATCTCTTCTGTTAAACTATGAAGCAATGTCTCCAGATTTGGGTTGGTAAGAAAATGATTTGGAATTTGCTTTAAAATCATGTCTTTCACTTCTTTATCCTGGGGCGCCAGCATGTCTTTCCGTATTCCATTATGTATGTAATAACAATATCTCTGTAAAAATAAAAATATCCTTATTATATTGACTTTTAAGACAGACAATTGACCATGATTAAACTTTCCAGGTTTGTTTGTTTTTTTTAATCTCCTCAACCCTTTTCACAGGTAGAAGGCACTTGGACTATCATGTGCCTTGGTTATTTCAAACTTGAGTTCCTTTTAAACCAGTACAAATTTCTGATGTAATTTTTTTAAGTAGTTCCATCTGCTTAGATATATTGTTCTGGGCTGGACCAACTAAAATTTAGTAAAATGCTACTATTTGAAGTGTGAGGCAATAATATGAGTGGTTACGAATTTGGTTAGATGCGCTTAGATGCAACCCATTGGCCTGGAGAACAGACTGAGGAGTCAGAAACTATTAAAAGAAAAAGGAAACAATTGGGAAGGAAACAGAGGCAGATTAGGGTTAAAGAAAGATTTAAACACGGTTTGTTGTATTTAGTTTTTATACATGCTGTAGCAGGGTGAACGCCCGCTCCAGCCCTGAAGGGGTTGGAAAAGCCCTGCAGATAGGGTGACCAGACAGCAAGTGTGGAAAATCGGGACTGGGGGTGGGGGGTAATAGGAGCCTATACAAGAAAAAGACCCCAAAATCGGGACTGTCCCTATAAAATCGGGACATCTGGTCACCCTACCTGCAGAGGGCTGGGTAAAAGGGAGCAAAACCCCGGCTGATTGGGGAAGTGGCTGCAGCTGGGGCCACGCCCCAGACTGAGCCACTCAGCCTGATAAGAAGGCCAGGGCAACCAGAAGCTGAGTAGTCTCTCTCTGACAGGAGAGAGAGACAGGCCTGGCTGCAGGGAGCTCACCCAAGGACCTAGACTGAGGCTGGGCTGGGCTGGGCTGGGGAAAGGCCTTGGGGGCTGGGAAGCCCTAGGCCAGCAACTCCCCAGGCTGCAGGGCCTGGTCTTAGGCCATATAGGTATTGGGGTTGCAGAGGAGCAGCCTGAGGTTGGGTAAAGGCAGCCAGTCCAAACCCCTTGTTGCCGGTGATGATTGGCTGATAGACTGCAGTCTGCCCCAGGGTGCGGGGGCTAGATGGTGACTGGCAGTAGCCACGACTGAAGCAACATTGGGATAAGGGGTGGGGATTCCCCTGGGTGGGGAGACCCAGAGGGAAAGAGTGGGGTACTGCCAGGGGGGCAGCACCTAAGCCAAGGGCACTGGGGTCTGGGAGGGACATGGGGGCCAACAACTGGCGGATCACTGGCCCACAGAGGGCACTCCAGAGGCCGGTGAGCTAACTCCCTGGATGACCAGCAGGAGGTGCCGCAGGGGTGAGTCCACACCTGATTACACATGCGTTGTCTGGTGCATAGAAATTTTCTTCTTTTCCTAATTTATGCCCAATTTAAGTGGGCATAACTACATATTCATACTCCTGATTATGATTATCACTTTTCTCAACTTAAAAAAGTGAAGTTAATACCTCTATATCACTTTCCGAAGGTGACTCTTCTTGCTTATGTATCTCCTCCTCGTGTTGGAGCATGACAACAAACTGTTCTTCTGGAGTCAATGGTTGGGTGTCTGAATAATATATGATGCCTAATTCTGGACTATGTCTATCTGAATATAATGAATTTGAATCTGTACTGTACAGTTGGGTTGGTGTGGTTCTGAAACAAAAGGGCACCAGTTTAGTATACTTACAACCAGAGATGCATTCTCATAACATTCTGGACAAATTCATGCCCTGTTTTCCAGTGGTATTATGCTGAGGATGAACATGGCATATTCTACAGTACTCAACTATTTGTAAGGATGTAGTAAAGCCATACACCAATTTGCTTCATTATAAACAATATACATGCTGCCTTATATTGTAATATGAAAACTAGCCAGTACATTACAGGTAATAGCAATGTGTATATATATATTAGTAAAATACATACACAATCCCCCAGTTTGAAATCGCCCAAATTTGGTGACCTTCTGGGCATGTGCAAAAGACATCTGTTTGATAGGGTGTTCAGAGAGGGCTGGTTGATCATTTTAATGCTGCGAACTTTTAAATTGCATTGTTAATGTGTGTTGGGGCACCTAGTATCTTGGATAGGCATCTTTTAAGTTATTTTTAAATGAAAATAAACAAAACATAAAAATATGTATGGGTAATTATAATGACAAAGGTGGGTAATATTATAGGAAAACTGGTAGCACCACCTATTATTAAGGTTGACTGACATTCTACATCAGATCCATTTTCAGTTGCGTATAATTTTGCCAAACTTTAACCATTTAGGCTGAAATTTTCCATGCCAGGTGTCTACCTGAGGTTGAATACCTATGGATAATTAGTCAAAGGGGTTCAGCCATTTCGGAGAATGAGACTAGAGGAAAAATATGTTTTGTGGGGTTTTTTTACTCATGTTACAATCTAGTAATCTTTTCTTTGAACAGCTCTAGTACCCCCAGTCATGGAGCAGGGTTTGAAATGTGGTACAGGGTGGCCTTTGTGTCAGATGTCCCCTTTTTGCTGTCCCCATTAAAATCTGCCTACATTTAGCCAAGTTATAAGCCACTGAAAAATCACAGTTCGCACATAGGCAGTAAACTTCTTAGATTTTAGAGGATAAATTCCACAAAGATTCCATCCGCCTTGGGCATGTTCCAGCCAGGGGCTGAGTAGAACTTTCCCTGCAATTGCAACTCTGGGCTCCTGATGGCCATGATGGTCCGTCCAGGCACCTGAACTGAGAACAGGAAGTCTATCTCGTTCTCTCAATGACCTCCCCAGCCCCTACACACACTTGCAGGAGCCTGTACTGAATGCAGAGGGAAGATCTGTGAGGGGAGGGGAGGGAGAAGATGGAGAGAGTAGACTGAGGACAAGGGTCCCAGATGAGGAAGACTGAGACTGGGCCTGGAGGCTAGCAGCAGGGGAATGGAAAGGAAAACTGGAACTGGATGGGGCAAGGAGACTGGGACAAGGAGCCAGGGAAGGAGATTGTGATTGGGAGCTAGTAGGGACAGGGAACATGGGCAAAGGATTGGGAGAAACGGGAACCCATTGGAGGCCAGGGCATGGGAGATAGATCAGATGAGGTGTCAGGGGAAGGTGGGAACAGGTAATGTCTGGGCATGGAGATGAATTGGGAGAAAATAAACCATTATTTTCCCACTATCCAAAAGTACTGTGTATCTCTGAAAAACTGATAGTGTAATTAGAGCATATTTCTAGTTGTCTTGTGACTACTGCCTGTGAATATATCATCTATCTATGCACACCCCAGAGAAATGGTTCAGTATCACAATTCATTAAATGTGCCATCTTATATGCTAGAAGTGAAATTCATCCCTCTGCAAAGGACCAGCAAAAAGTGCTACATGAGCTTTCTGCTGGCCCTCTCTGCTCAGGCAGGAATTTCACAAACAGATTTTATAAAAAACATAAAATTTTATTGTAACTACATCCAAACTAAGAGAAAAATTAAAGCATCAGGATATTGTAAGTGTGTGTCACTGCAGAGCTCTAATTCTGAGACTGATTTCAGCACTCCATATCTTTATAATCAACTATGGTACATTACCTATCAGAGTCACATTTACTTCTTTGTGTAAGTCTGAGCCTCTTCTCAGAAGGGGCATATTCTTTTGGAGCTATAAGTATCAGTCAAGAAAATAATTTGTAATAAGGTTATTTCAAGTTATTACAAAGCAGAGATACATGAATTAACTACAACAGACAGTGAAATAACAGAAAAATATAATCTGCACATAGAGGGCTAGGGTCCTGATTCAGCAAGTTACTTAAACACCTGCTGAAGTACCTTGCTGAACTGAGGTTCAGAAAAGCATTCAGCGTGTGCTTAACCTTAAACATGTGCTTAAGTTCCATTGACGTCAATGTTTAAGTGTTTTCCTCAATAGGAATGCTTAAGTGAAATAGAACCTATATTTCTAACTTTTACATATAGGTAGTGCAATGTAATATCTAAAGGTAGTGCAATAAAATATGAAGTTCTAACAAATTCACTATATATGACTAATTTGTGGACAAGAGGCTGTTATGACAGGCTTTTCAGACATATAAATAATCAATCGCCATATAATGCCTTTTCTCCAAGGAAACAGACCCTGATTATGACTGCATTCCATTTCACATACCTTTATTCATTTGAAATGCATGTGAATCCAAGAAAACAGGTGAAGAAACAATGGTAAGAGGCTTAGTGAACCAAAACAAAGCCTACTTAAGTAGTGTGCAAGAGAAGAAAGTGGACACTGAAACTCTTTTTGTCAAATTCCCAATCATTTGCCAAGATGAAAAGAGAGGAAGCAACGGCCTGGATTAACAGACAACCGCTTTAGACAAATAAAGTAAGTAATGGGAAGTTAGCATACTACATTATCGCAATCTTTCACCAATAGCCGTGGTTTATGATGAGATGCTAGAATCCTCAGAAGAAAGTTCACAAATTAAAAAGTAGATTTTAAATTGTTGTGACCTTGTGTTTGCATACCATACAAGGCTCTTCACTAGGAAGGAGAGTTTATGTGAATGTAAGGATTCTGTTGCCCCTGCACATTATGAAAGAATCAGTCTACTGTTGATACGGACTACAACTTGCTGGAAAATAAGAATTTTGGTCTGTGAAAAATGTTGACTTTTTAAATTTGATTTCGGTCCACACTAAAATGAAAACAAGACATTCAGAATTTTTTTGTGACAAAACATGATACCATCCTGCCTCAGAATAACCAAGAGACTCCTGATTAGGATTCAGGACATGGAGGTTCAAGGCCCAGTGTCTGAACGTTGGTCTCTGGCATCCAAGATAAGTGCCCTAACCACAGAGCTATTAGCTAATCTGGCATGGGTCTCTTTCTTGCTCAAGTTGTATGGGATAAACCTCTGGCTAAACCTCTGGCCATTTTATAACCAAACTTCACCCGAGAAAGATTAACAGGAGAGAGTGGTTAGGATTAGTGACTGCAGATTTGTACTGCTAATTAAATATGCAGAGATCAAATGAACCATTAGACAACATGCTAATATATGCAAGTATGGATACGCGGTGAGACTGCTCTCTGCTTCGCTGAACCCAATGTTGCTCTCGCCATGGCAGGGGACACCATTTTATGCAGATCTTTCAGTTTTAGATCACGTGCAGTAAGTGTGTAGTTATTAGCTATGGAATCACTCGGGCTTCGGTAATAACGCTGTTCTTTAAATGGAACTGCCAAAGTCCATGACACTCTTTGCATCAAAGGAGGATAATAGCTGTTCTTAAGGACAAGCTGAAATTGAAAAATAGTAATATTATTAAGTCATTGGGCTATCTAAGAAGTGTCTTCCTGTAGCTAGCACAAGAAAGAATAATTGCTATTTCTTAGCCTGAAGTCAGCCTAAAACTCTTGGCTCTACATCACAAACACCAGGTCACATTTTGCACTGACTGCTATTTTAAAAAATCTGTGTTTATATAATGCTCATGAAAAGTTCCAGATTGACAGGCCTGAAGAATGAAGTTAGAGACGAGCGACAGCGCAGGCGGCAGCACTGCAAGCTTCCTCACACAGCCCTACCAGCGAGCCTCACCCTTGAGCAGGAAAAAACAAGGGCACATCACTCTCCACAACCACATGATCCTTGGCCATTCTGCTGAACCAGTCACCCAGAGAGTTGGTCAGTGTTGGTTCCAGTGGTGTTTCTTGTGATGTGGATGTTTTGTCGCTGAGAAACACTAAACTTATTTCATGCAGGTCACTGAATTGCCATCAAGTTTTGGTAATTACCATCCTAATCTGTAGTAACCACCAGCCTAGAGGTTAGCAAGGGTGAGGTGAGTGGGTGACCAAACCACTGAGCGATTTGGTCCCTCCCTTAAAACAGTTGGATTCAATTGTATCCTGGTGCAACTTCAGTGGACTTAGTGAAATTAACCTATTTTGATTTTTTACAACATGCTCAAGTTCATATGCAATACACAAATGAGCAGTAAACTAAAAACAAATATTTATTTTTAAAGACAACATTAATATCAGACAGTTGGTCGCTTTTTCTTTTTTTGTATATGAAATAGTTTTCCATTTGAAAACGTAGTTGTCAAAATCAAAACATTTTGCATGAATATACAAAATTTCAATGAAAATGTCAATGCAAACATGGTGAAACTATTCAAAAGGGAGAATTTTGTTTCTACTTTATCATTTTGTTTCATTCTGACTTTGTTTTGTTTCAACCTTTAATTTTTTGAATTTTAACTTTTATTTTAATATCTATAATATTTAATATTCTATACTAATGTTTTGGCATTATCAATGTTTCAAGAAGGTTCTTTTAATGTATCTGAATCAAAATATTTCAGAATTTCCATTCTGCAAAATATTTTGAGATTTTGACTTGCCCTGATTCAGGATGAAAACAAATTTTGAAATATTGCAATTTCCTGTGAGGGAGAAATTTCATTTTCAGACCAGCACTAGTTACGATGTTTATACTCTGGAATCATTTTACTGGTAAAAGTCACACAAACCTGAGATGAAAATACCATAACAAATATTTTTCTCTAGTTTCTCCAGTTTAAAGAATAACCATGTAAAAAATACATCTTGTTGATGTTCATCTTCAAGTATATATTTTATATCCTCATTGGTTTGATTTATAGCCAGTATAGTGATGCTCTTACATTTATTCCAGCTTTGTCTTGATGTATAATATATTCTAACAGTGGCAATTTAGAATGAACAGCTCATTTGTCATATGACCGTATATGGTAACATTCTTGAAAAACGGGATATCTCCATTAATTATATTTATTATATTAAAAACGAATGGTGTATACTTATTTCAGTCATTATTGGAACTTCATTGAATAATTTGAAAATGTGTCTGAAATGTAGACTGTTGTGGGGAAAAAAATAAATAATGTCGGGCTTTCGGCAGCAGAAAAAAACCTCTACAGCTTGTGTCCCCCGAAGAACTGACTACTGGCCTTCTGAGCTACTGTATCAGACACAAAAGCTGTGCTTTACTTAGAGGAAGAAACAGTCCCCCTGCTGGCAGCTAGGAAATGCCACATTAGACATCATGTAGCTGTATCTAGCTGCCCCCTTCTGAGGCATACCATCTGTCACTTCACACAGCCTGACTAGCATATATGGCAAACAAGCCAATCTGGCTCATGGGAAAGACAGTTGGGGACAGAGGTGGTGACTTTTTTATTTTTTCCCAGTGAGTGCTCCACCCCCGCTCTGCCCTGAGGCCACACCCGAGCTCTACCTCTCCCCCGAGACCCCACCCTCTTCCTGCCCCTGCTCCGCCCCCTCTCCCAAGGCCCAGCCCTCTGTCTGCCTCTTCCCGCCCCCACTCCAGCCCCTCCCCCGAGGCCCCCCCACCTACCTGCTGCTCGCTGCTTTCTGCCCTCCTCTGAGCACCTCCGCCAGCTCCAAACAGCTGATCAGTGGCCCCCATTGAACAGCCATAGCTGGTGAGTGCTGAGCACCACCTATATTTTTTTCCCGTGGGTGCTTGAACCCTGGAGCACCCACAGAGTCGGCGCTTATGGTTGGGGAGACATTGTCTCTTCCTCTCACAACATCCTTCTGATCCTGCATACACTTACACACGAGTAACTTTACATGTCTTCAATGGGGTCTTATCAATAAATGTATCAACAAATTATTTAATAGTCTTTAATCTTACCCCATCTCCATTTCATGTCTTCTCTTTTTTCCTACATTTTTGTAACTTTGAATTTTTCCTCATCCTCCCCACTTCTCTATCCCTTCAAGCCCTCTTCAAGCAATACTATAAAGGGATCTACTTTGTTAATCAGCTGAAAAAAGAGGAAATGTTTGCAACACTTACGCCTAAATGCTTGTGTAACACCAACAGACCCCAGTTGTCGGTGGGGGGGGAATCAAACCTCTGTTAAACTTATGTCCTGTAGTCCCAACTTTAATAGGACAGCTCACATATATAAAGGCTGTGGAATGGGATCAGGTAGTAGAGACCTTACAGAAATATTTTCATACCCAGAGCGAGGAAATGCACATGCCTATGCAGCATGAATGTTCTTCAGATCATGGTTTTCTGTAGCTCCCATTTTAAATGCATATTCCACTTTCTTCTCACATTTCATCCCACTTAACCTTTCCTCACCTAATAAAATAATGCAATGAAAACATAACTACTTGCTTTTTCACCTCTCTTTGTGTGACTAGCATCAAGTTTTTAATAATTTAAAATAGCTTTTTTTAATAGGTTATTGACATCCTGCCTTCCATTCCCTCACTTCTCTTTCCATTCCCTCGGGAGCTGCAATTAACCGTGTCTGCTCAGCTGGCCATCACCCTATGACCTCTGGAAAGGCAGAGTATTAAGACATGAAATAACTTCCTTCCATTTGTGTTACTGATGCAACTTTTTTTTTCCCCAGTCTATCATGAGCTTTAGTAAAAAGATGATGATGATGATGATACAGTTGGCCAATTTAAAATAGATGATAAAACCAGATTACAACTCCTGCTGTGGGTTTTTCTTATGATCGATGTGGCTAATCTTATCAGTAAGGAAACAGGCATTTATACTGCTGTTAAAGTGCACTCATACTCCCTAAAGTCACTTTTGAAAGTTCATAGGCTCTATTCTGTTCAGTTTCTTATACCTCGCCCATCACCATGGTATCTGAGAGTTTTCAGTAATGTAACTAGCATAGGGAACTAGGCTCTGTATAATTCTATAATATTTGGAAAGGGGGAGAGTTAGAGAAATCTAAAACCTGATTAGCAGCCTAGGCTTCCCTTTACCTCGTCATCTGCTTAAAACCTGAAAATATCCCATGCCTGCAGGCATTCCAGTACTCTACTTCAAAGTTTTATATCGGAGAAAAGATGACACATACCTGATACAGTTCTGAGGGTTCTGTTGTGGTTGCAGCTGGCAGAGGTGGTAACTCGGGTATCCCTTTGGAATGACTCATATTATACACAGAATTATTTTGGGACTAGAGAGAATAAAAATGTGTTTTACAAAAAGATTTTGAACTGCATTGCTTGACAAAGGACTTTATTAATGAAGGATGGAGTCACTTGATTTTCTTAGAAGAATAGTATGTTGCAACTGTTCTAACATAAGAGAAAACTGATATTCTTACTCAGAGCAAATCAGGTTTTCTGGCAGCACTGTCATCTTTGACCTCTTCACAGCCCTAGGACAAATGTCTCTTTCAAAGAAAAACCTGACTTTGGAGGCATATTTCACTTGTGGATAAAACTCTGGAGCAAAAGCTGATATTCCAAAAATTAGATTTAATAAAAAAAAGTGCTCATGTTAGGGGAAAAAAATTAAAGTGTTTATCAAAGTCTGCCTCAAGACACAGATGGCTCACACAGTTAGGTGTAGCCAACAGGACCACAAGGAAGTGACATGGCCAGCATGACTTCCAACCTCTATTGATTTCCCCGTGCATCAGAAACCCATTCTGTAGCTAGGTGAACTGTAAGCAGCATTTCACTGTAAGATCAAACAAGACAAACCCACACCCTTCAGGATCCTGGTCAAGCACCTCTACCAGTCAGTCACCACACCTGTTTTACTTTAAATATTTGCTCTAGCAGGTTTGGAATGAACTAAATATTGCCACATTGTAACAGTGAATATATACCAGAAAGTGAAACTGACTAATCCTTGTCTAAGCTGAGTGAAATGCAAAAAGTAAATACAGGGCTTTTACTGTGCAAAGGAAATTAGAGTTTAAAAATTGTTTCAATTTCAGTTCAGGGAGTCAAGAACTTTACAGCTCCAAAGAAAGCTGTGCTGCCAGGATGGAGAAGAACAGCAAACAGAGTAGAGGGATGGGCTCTTCACATGTGCACTAAATCCCATAGGATTTCAATGTAGATGTCAGAACATCTACCGAGTCACAGAAACATGCCCTCAGCAGCCCCTTTGAGGGGCTGATGTGCTGAGAGAGCTTTCTGGGATTCTATGTGGAGTTTTCTCAATACATTTCCCCCCTTATAATTTCTTTGTTGTGTGTAGGGTTCAGGAGGTGCCCAAGGAAATTATATAAAGTGACACTAGCAGCAAAGAATGGTGGACTTGCAGACTCTAAAATTTTACATTGTTTTAGTTTTGAATGCAGTTTTTTTACATAATTCTACATTTGTAAGTTCAACTTTCACGATAAAGAGATTGCACTACAGTACTTGTATTTGGTAAATTGAAATACTTTTTTGGTTTTTTTTTCAGTGCAAATACTTGTAATAAAAAATAAATATAAAGTGAGCACTGTGCACTTTGTATTCTGTGTTGTAATTGAAATCAATATATTTGAAAATGTAGAAAATATACAAAAATATTTAAATAAATGGGATTCTATTATTGTTTAACAATGCGATTAATCGCTATTAATTTTTTAATCGCTTGACAGCCCTAAAATAAATAAATTATAATATTAAAAAAAAACCACACAGATACCATTTCATATGGAGCTAGGAAGCACATTAAAGGATCACAGAAAGCTATAGTACCATACTGCAACAACTATTGTTTGGATTCCTCCAAATCTATATCCCAGAGGTGGGTAAACTACGGCCCCGTGGGCCCATCCGGCCCACGGGACCATCCTGCCTGGCCCCCAAGCTCCTGGCCCAGGAGGCTCGCCCCTGCTGTCCCTCCTCCCCCACAGCCTCAGTTCGCTAGCTCCGCTGCAATGCTCTGGGCTAGGGCCAGCTTTAGGCCAATTCCACCAATTCCCCTGAATCGGGCCCCGTGCCCAGTAGCAGGGCCGCCCAGAGTGGGGAGCAAGTGGCAGAGAATCCCTTCCCTGGCTAGAGGCGTCTTTTTACTCACCCGGCGGCGCTCTGGGTCTTTGGTGGCACTTTGGCAGCGGGTCCTTCACTCGTTCCGGGTCTTTGGCGACACTTTGGCGGCAGGTCCTTCAGGCCCGCCAAAGACCTGGAGCAAGTGAAGGACCCGCCACCGAAGACTAGGAGCGCGGCCCGGTGAGTAAAAGCCCCACTTGTTTTTTTTTACGTGGGTTTTTTTTTTTTTTAGTCATCGAAACAGTTTGAATCGGGCCCCGCACTTCCTAAAGCTGGCCCTAGCCCAGAGCATTGCAGCGGAGCTAGCGAACTGAGGCTGTGGGGGAGGAGGGACAGCAGGGGCGAGCCTCCTGGGCCAGGAGCTTGGGGGCCAGGCAGGATGGTCCCGTGGGCCGGATGGGCCCACGGGGCCGTAGTTTACCCACCTCTGGGATATAGATTTGGAGGAATCCAAACAATAGTTGTTGCAGTATGGTACTATAGCTTTCTGTAATCCTTTAATGTGCTTCCTAGCTCCATATGAAATGGTATCTGTGTGGTTTTTTTTTTAATATTATAATAAATTTATTTTCGCGCTGTCAAGCGATTAAAAAAATTA